GCCGGGAGGGGCCTGAGAACAGGGGATGGCAGGGCCGGGAGGGGCCTGAGAACAGGGGATGGCAGGGCCGGGAGGGGCCTGAGAACAGGGGATGGCAGGGCCGGGAGGGGCCTGAGAACAGCGGATGGCAGGGCCGGGGGGGAGCTCAGAACATGGAATGCCAGGGCTAGGTGTGGGGGAGGTGCCTGAAGATCAAGAAAATAATAACAAAAGTTAAAATTTATCGAGCATGTTAAAGTATGCAAAGCACTTGACTTATAGTTAGTTGATCCTCACAACACCCCTGGGGGGCAGTGCTATTTTTCCTGTTTTATAGAGGAGGCAGACAGGTTAAGTGACTTGTCCAGGGTCACACAGCTCGTACGTGCCTGAAGCAGGATTTTCACTCGGCTCTTCCTGGCTGCGGGTTCAGCGCCACCCCCGCTGCCCTGGGGGAGGCCTCGTTCAGAGCTTCTTGTGGGCTCTCTCCACACCCCCAGGTCCGTACTTTCTTTCTGTCCTCTGTCCACAGCGGGACCTTCATCGAATTCCGCAATGGGATGCTGAACGTCTCCCCCATTGGCCGCAGCTGTACCCTGGAGGAGAGGATTGAATTCTCTGAGCTGGACAAGGTGAGAGCAGGGTAGGTGGGAGGAGAGAGCCCGGCTCTTTGGTGCCCGGGCCTCCCGCAGAGACCAGAAAGTGATCCTGAGCTCAAGGGCCTTGGGGATCGTGGTCCTATGCCCTCGTTTTACAAGGGAGGGAAACGAGGCCAGAGAGGTCAGTCCCCTTTCCCAAGGTCAGAGGTTCTCCAAATCCAGCGTTCTTTCTGCCGTTGCAACGTTCTTCATTGGTGGGTCTAAGGCCATCATTTTACAGCCAAGTCAAATGGGGCCTGGGTAGGGGAGGGGACTTGTTCCAGATCACAACGGAACCAGGGTTTGCACCCAGGTCCCTGCAGTCCAAATCCAGGGCTCTTTCTAATGTGCCATAAGAATTATGTTTCCATAGTATTTTTTGGGTTCATGAAGCTCTTTCCTCATAAACAGCACTGAGAGGCGGTAGGCAGGAATGGGAGATTCTTTCAAGCAGGGGTGGCTTATAATAATATTATTACAACAGCCAGCATTTCTATAGAATTTAAAGTTTGCAGAGTGCCTTACACATGTATCATTTTATCCTCACAATAACTCAGGGGGTTAGAAGCTTTTGTGACCCCCATTTTACAGAGAAGCAAGCTAAGGTTCAGAGAAGACCAATGAATTCCCTTGGGGTCCAAGGCAGGCTCTGAGCCCCGGTCACATGGCTCCCAGATCTTCGCTCTGCCTTCTGGAGAGTACAATGCACCCACAAGTGTTTGTTAAGTCAGCACCTTCTTTGTTGGGGAGCAAAGAGCAGGGCTGATCTCCTGCTGCCCTGAAGGAGTACTAGTATGAAGAGTCAGACCCAGACTGGCATATTTAATCTTTTGTTTTTTTGTTAGGCAATCAGGGTTAAGTCACACAGCTAGTAAGTGTCTGAGGCTGGATTTGAACTCAGGTCCTCCTGACTCCAGGACTGGTGCTCTATCCACTGCACCACCTAACTGACCCAGGAACATATAAGGCAGCCAACACTTCCAGGCACAAAGTGATGGGATTCTGTGATGAGTTTAGGAATTCAGAAGAAAGAATGTTCCCTGGTCCGGGAGTGGGCTTTGTGGGCTTTGGCCAATCAAGAAAGAAGACCACAGACACAAAGGGGTGGGGATCTGCCTGCTGAGAAATTTGTCCAGGGACCAGTGCAAGGATTTGGGGATTAGTGGGATTTCCAGGTCTGCCCTCCCTCCTGCCTGCCTTTCCTTGACCCAGGGCAAGGCCAAGCTACTCCTTCTCAGACTCAAAGGAGATAAGCCTCTTGTAGAGGCCAGAGGGCCAGGGCGAGGTGAGTTCCCATCCTAAGTCAGGCGCTAGCCTGTTGTGATTCTGGTCATTTACTTAATCCCTCTGGGCCTCAGTTTTCCCCTCTGTAAAATCAGGGGAGTGGACTCAGTGACCTTATGGCCCCTTCCAGCTCTGAGACCATGACCCTCTGAAAATGGGGGTGGTAGTAATAGTCTCACCCACTTCATAAGATTATATACAGAGCGCCGGCCCTGGAGTCAGGAGGACCTGAGTTCAAATCCGACCTCAGACATCTGACACTTACTAGCTGTATGACCCTGGGCAAGTCACTTAACCCCATTGTCTAGCCAAAAAAAAAAAGATTATTGAGATACTTGATATGACAAGATGAGTAAATAGTATATGAGATAATATGAGTAAAACAATGTTTATGTTATATTATAACGATTCTTTCCCCTGTTCACTCCCCTCTTACAGAAAGAAAAGATCCGGGAGAAATTCGTGGAGGCCTTGAAGGCAGAGTTTGCTGGCAAAGGGCTGAGATTCTCCCGAGGTGTGTGGGATGGAAACTAGCTGGGTAGATCTCTCCTTCCACTGGCCCCTGGAGGACCATTTTGACTCAGGACGCCCTCACTCTCACTCGGGGTGCATTCACTCTCAGATTCTCTTTCAGAGCTAAAAGGAGCCTCAGAGACCACCTGGTTTCACCCCTTGTTTAATGTTGGGGAAACAGGCTCAGAGAGGGTAAGCTCCTTCCTCAAGGTCACACAGCTGGCTTGGGGTAGATCCCAGCTCTGCTCAGTCACTCACTCAATCAGTTAGCATTTATTATGACTTTGCCGTGTGCAGATACTGTGCTGATAAGCCCTGGGAAGACAAAGAAAGTTAGGGAGCCTCTCTGGCCTCTGGGAGCTCGCCTTTGAATTCCTCCAGCTCTCCACCTAGGCCCCTCTTCTCTGTGTCCTGGCCGGCTCCCTCATCCTGTTTCTCCTTTGTCCCCTCAGGGGGCATGATCAGCTTTGATGTCTTCCCTGAGGGCTGGGACAAGCGCTACTGCCTGGATCGCCTGGACCAGGAGAGCTTTGACACCATCCACTTCTTTGGGAATGAGACCAGCCCGGTGAGTCCAGGGCTCATTCCCCATCTTGGCCCCTGTGGGAAGGGAGATGGAGGCTGATGGGACGGCGTGGGATTAGGTCAGACCCCTCGGGGGCCCCCAGTGCTGTGGGTGAAGCCGTGATTAATCTGGTGCATCTCTCCCGGGCTCAGCCCCTGGGCAGGTGCTATGGGTGAGGGAGGGGGGTGCTGGGAGAGGGGTCCTCTGCTCTGTTCCACTGCCTTCGTTCCAGAAGCTAAGGCCGTGCAGGGGCCTGCACCAGCAGACCTGAGAGTCAAGCCTAGGCCTAAGCATGACGTCTCCCCACAAGCGTCATCCCGCTTGGGCATCTGGGGACGGCCAGCTCCTCCACCTTGGACAGTTCTCACTGTGAACACATTTTCATTTTTTCTGGAGCCAAGAATCTGCCTCCCTGAAACTTCGGGTGGTGGCGCAGTGAGGTTTGGAGCCACATGGGAGGGGCCTCTGCAGGTCATCTCATCCGAAGCCCCCATTTTACGAAAGAAACCAAACCTGAATTTAGATTATCCCCGTTGTCCCCGGCTCCGCCCTCTGCGAACCAGCAGAATAAAGCTCGTCCCTCCTCCCCAGGCCTGCCCTGCAGACAGGAGTCCAGCACTGGGGTCCTGCCGTGAACCTCCTCCTCTCGGCATCCCTGTACGTGCTCCCCGGCTGTGCTCTCTTTGGAGTGGCTCCTCAGCCTCAGTGTCCCAGAGGGGGCTGCACTGTGGGCATGGTCATTCGGTTTAACAAATATTAAATACCTACTGTGTGTCAGTGGGTGCTCAGGTCACAAAAATGAAAAAAAAAACAAAACACCCAACAAACCTGGTCCTTCTCTCAAGGATCTTACGTTCCGTTGGGGGAGGGCGGAGGGGTACATCACTGTCACGTAAGTAAATAGGTGAAGACAAGGTCATCTGAGGGGGAGAAGGCCTGGACCTTCAGGGTGAAAGTCCTGTCTGCTCTCTTCTTCCTTCCGCAGGGGGGAAATGACTACGAGATTTATGATGACCCCCGCACGGTGGGGCACAGTGTGGTCTCTCCCCAGGACACAGTGCAAAGGTGCCGGGAGCTCTTCTTTCCAGAGAGTGCACATGAAGCATGAGGCTGGCGTCCCCTGAGGGCTCAGGGTCCACCTGTCTTCACTTGGGGATTGTCAACACCTCTAGGGCATGTGGAGAAGGAGCCCCAACCCGCTGCAGTGGTGGGGAGGCGGGGCAGCTCGAAGCAGCCCTTGCCCTCTTCCCTGCTCTCCTCTTTTTTCCCCTTCCCCAGAGGGGAAGAGCATCCCTGCCTGCCTGCTGGAGAGGACTCAGAGCAAGGGTGTTGGAGTGGAAGGGGCCCAGCCAAGCTTTGTCGTGGTGGCAGATGGACAGACAGACAGAAAATGTGGGTGATGGCCCAAGCCGCCCCCCAGGGTGTCCATAGTCTGAGTCACCATCATCTCTGGCCCCGGGTTTCCATGCCTTCACCCGTCTAGTCACAAGGTCACCAGAGTGGGTGGGACAACAGGCATCCAGGAAGGGATGGGTTTCTTTCTCTCCTCTCCCCCGTTCCCCTCTCAAGCTTCTGGTAGGGCCTGGAGAGCAGGAGAGTGGGGGGAAGTCCATCAGTAAGCATTTATGAAGTACTGGCTATGGGCCAGCTCCCTCCCTGCCTCTCTGCTCACCTTGGATTAGGGGCAAGATGAAATCCACTCAGCTGCACACCAGGGGTTCCCCAGAAGGTGGCTGCTAGCCTCATTCTTGCATGTCTAAGAACTTAAACCCCACCTCTCCCAGGAGGCAAGCCCTAGAAGGCAGGGATTTGATGCCCTGGTCACCCTTCATTCCTCCCCTCTACCCAGAGCCAGTATCAGCCCCCTGGCATGCCATTCAACTAAGACACACAGCTATGGGCCAGGGGTGGCTTTGTGGCCTCCTCCCTACCTCCTGCCTTGTGGCTGCCTGGAAGAGGTGGGAGGGGAGGTCCAGAATTCACCATCCTAGGCCTGATTTGTCCCGACACCCCCCACATACAATATGACCTGTTCCCTTTGGGTCTTACTCTGGCTGTGGGCCCTGACCTCTGACCCTTGTGCTAGGGCACTGTCCATCCTCACCTAGAATCAATCAGTGTTTTTCTGTGCAAAAAAAGAGATTTTTATGTTGGAAAGTGTGTATGTGTGTAAGAAAAAGCTCTGCTTAGGGGTGAAGGGCACAGCTCTGGATAATAGAGAGCTTTGTTGTGTCACAAATTCTATTAAACAACAGAAATCCATCTTGGCCTGCCCCTGGTTTCCTTTCCAGTAGACACTACCCATAGGAATGTGGGCCTTGAGTTCAAAAGGACCCCAGAAACCATCTACATCAACTCCCCCTTTTTGTAGATGAAGAAACTGGGGCTCAGAGGGGTCCCAAGGATGTAACCAAAGTGAAGGGAGATTAGGTCAGTAACCACTATTGGCCTACAGCCGCAGTGGGCAACCATGCAGGATGAGGACTATTCCTCCCAAAACCGTACCACTCGTTCCCAGGTCTGGGGAGGACCACAGGGCGCCAAAGGGAGGTGGCCCCAGGGTCTCTCCTAAGTGTGGAATGCTGGTGTGCAAAAAGGTGCAGAGAGTGTGCAGCAGGGTGTCCTCTCCTGTAAGAGTAAAACAAATACAGATGGCTTCTAGATCCCTGGGAATTTCCATTGTCCTGGGATGAAGCTCCCTTCTTCCTAAGCACCCCACCCCAGCTTCTTCCGCTCCTCTCCTCCAACAGCCTGAAGAATCCAGGAGACAAAGGCCACTCCTAATGATTTATTGACACCAGGTCCGCTGGGTGGGAACCACACAGAAGTTTCAAAGATACACGATAGTTTCTAGGGGGATAAGAGAGAAGGGAGGCGCTGTCCTCCCTACACCCCTGAAGGGGGCAGGAGTTAAGCTAGGAGGGCCCCCCTCTTTCCATTCCACATTTCTTGCCCAACCAAGCTAGGCAGAGAGGAGCACCCATGGGCCCAGAGGGAAGGGCAAGAAAGAACCAGAGGCTTGGTACAACCTAAACCTGGGAAGTTCAACAAATGTGAGTGGTCTTGAGAACGCCGGTGAAGGGGTGACTGGCCTATGACCTCTCCCCAGGGGCCAGCCCCAAAGTGATCACACACAGACCCTCCATCGGACACTTTTTTAGGTGAGCGGCGATAGGAATTCCTGGGGTCCCTCTCAATTGGGTCTGGGGGAGAGAGAAGTTTTTATGCTTCTGGGTCCCCAGACTAGGAGTGGGGGTGACCCACTAAAACCACCAATTCCCTGACTGGAGAAAACAGGCCCTGAAGGAAGACGGCTCAGCTTAGTAAGCAGATGCCGGACCAGGTGTCAGAGAGCTGACTTCTGGTTCCAGGTCGGTTTGGAGGCAATTCCACCTTGCCTACCTCCCAGGAGGACCTTCTGAGGGTCAAAATGGAAAGGCATGGGCTTTGTAAACTGTAAGGTGCTATACCTTTCTCTGTCATTTGCCCCTGCTTTCTGGTGCCTAACCCCCAAATAAAAAAAGTTACCCTGTGTCACCATCTCAAGGGCTGGGAAGAAGGCTTTGTGCCCCACTCAGAGCAGTCAGCTCCCTCCATTACCTCCCCCAGCTTATCTCGAATCAGGTGGTGCCCTGCCCCACCCCACTTCACCCAGCCTTCCTTATCTGATGGGCCCCAACAGGAGCCTGAGCCCCAAGGGAAGGCCCCAGCCCCCCGGCTGTGTGATCCACTCTGCCCCTTTCTTGGCACGAGAGTCGGACTTAACACCAACCGCAAACCCCACCCCTCCATCCCTATCTAACCCTCCTGGCCTCCCTAAGTCTGGCCAGTATCTACAATGCATTACATTAGTGTGGCAACTGAAGGAAAAGGGAGTCATTGGGCAATGTGGGGAAGACGGCAGAGACAAGGTCAGAGTTAGCTCTACAGAGAGAGTGTGGGGGACACAGGAACCACCCGCGCTCAGGTTTGGGAGGGGGGCCCGTGTGAAGGTGGGATGGCACAGTGCTGAGCAGGGCTCTCCCCCTAGGATGAAACATACTCATGATGGAGGGAGTCTCAGATCAGTAAAACATCATCAAAGAGAGTGGGGCAAGGTACCTTCCCAACTAGAGGCAGCCCGGGGTGGGAAGACAGGTAGGCACTCCCCCCACTCACACCCCAGCCCTGTCCCCAGACGGACCGGGGAAAGGTGCTGTTCATGCTTTCTTTGTCCCCCCGTCCCCTGTGCTAGGGTTTGGGGAGGGGGTGTCCACAAAAACAACGGAGGTCCTTTAGCCCCCCAGGCACGGGGTGGGGGAGATAGGAGATCTGTGCAGGCAGGGGCTCACAGCCTGCCATTCTCCAGGGACTGGTTCTCCTAGAATGAAGCGGGGATGGAATGGGGGACAGGACAGGGGGAGAATGAGGCTCCATTTGTCATCCTCCATCCTAAGGACTCAATGACAGGGGGCATCTGCTCTATTCTGAGGGGAAGGGAGAGAGGCGGGAAGGGCAGTCTGTCTTGTGGCTAACACCTTCCCCTGGTCCCAGTGGTCCTGGGGAATCCAGGGACAAGGGGAGGATGGGGCCGGGGAGGAGAGGGGAGCTCTTTCCGATTCTGTTGTCTCAAGTCTGGATCTCTCCCCACAGCTTGGACCACAGTACAAACAGGGGAAAAAAGCAACACCACACACACACATACGTGAAAAAGCTACACAGGACTGGGAGGGGGCCACGCTTGGTCTGTGCAGCAGAAAAATGCCAGGGCCTGGCAGTGGGCTGCCCCTGGGCTCTCCCCCTGCCTTCTCCCTTCCCTCTGAGTTCTTCCCCCACCCCCGGTGGGCTCCCCCCCACTCGCCCCACCTCCCCCAACTTGGGCAGGTGGGCTCAAACTGGGATCCCCCTTCCTCCCCCCTCCCCACCCTGGTGCTGCGGCCTAGGAGCCGATGATCTGGCCAGACCACGTCTCGTGCTTAGTGTGGGGGGCCAGGTGGGTCAGGATCACCTCCACCGCCTGAAACTTCTGGTTTTTGGGGGGGATGGGGCACATCTTGTAGGTCACCTCGTCTCCCTCCACGGGCACGTACTCCCCCTCGATGCTGTGGTTCAAATGGGAGAGAAGGAAGGAGTGAGGTCCTGAGACCCGTGAGGGAGGGGCCTGAGGCCCGAAGACAGCTGCTCTGACCCCTCCCCACCCCCCCCCGTGGGACACAAGGGCTCTGAGCTTCCCCAAGGCACTTCCAGATCAGCTTGCCAGCCTAGCGCCCACCGCCAACACCGAGGGTTTGGCCAGCGCTGCCGTCAATGCCTCGTAGGAAGAACTCAGCCAGCATTGGGGCTTTAATGGTCACATTTGATAGTGCTGAGGGCTGGGGATTTTAGAGCCCTCAGACACTAAAAATAATGTGTAAATTCACTGCAAAATAGGTCCTTTCTTTTAAAATGAAGGGCTTTTTTGGAAAGGAAACATGAACACCAATACTGGCTTGCTTAGGAGTTTCCAAAGCAGAAGCTAAAGGGTGGGCCCACGCCCCCAGCCCCTTCCCAGGACTTACTCAGACACGTGGACGAATATGTCCTCTGTGCCATTCTCTGGCGTGATGAAGCCATGGCCCTGTGAACGCGAAAACTGCTTGCAGACGCCCTTGAATATGGGCCCAGCTGAGGCCCGAGCGGTGCTAGGAGGAGGAAGAGAAAAGAAAGGAGAGTGGGGAGAGAAGCCTGAGAGGGACCTCCAGAGCCGAGGCAAAGGAAACCGGATGGGCACCCTTGGGCGCCTGGCAGTAGCCTGAGAAAGCGGTGGAGATGGAGGGAGCTGTTAGGGAAGGGGCCCCCAGACATTCCCAGTTATGCAGACTGGAGGGGAGAGGGAAGGAGCTGAGCTTGGCCAAAGAGGGCCAGCCCAGCCTGGGGCTAGGTGAGAACCAGCTGGGAAGAGGAGTACCCAGAAAATCTGGCTTTGACCCTCTTATCTGCTAGCTATGTGATCTCGGGGTGGGGTGGGCAGGGGCGCTGAGCCTCTGGAGAAGGAGGTGTCTGAACCAGAAGAGGCCCCTTCCTCCCACACGCCAGGGGCTGATGCCCGCTCAGTGGCTGTTGTCTGCTAAGGTTTTGTCCTCGGGGCTCTTTCCTTTGCTCTCTCTGTTCTCTCATTTAGCCATCTCAAAAGCTCCCACAGATTCAATTATCGTCTCTATGAAGATAATCCCCAGCCCGATTTGTCCAGCCCTGACCTCTCTCCTAAGCTCTAGACAGCCCTGCATGACCAATACCTTATAGACATTTGGAACTGGATCAAATTCCCCCCAAACTCTTCCCACTTCCCAGTTTCCCTGTTACTAACCAGGGCATCATCACCCAGCCCTCTGATCTTCCAAGCTCCCAGCCTTCCCGTCATCCTCACCTCCTCTCTCTTGCCCAGCCCATGGATCTAATAAATTGCCAAATCTTGTCATTTTTTCTTCTTCTATAACTTGTCTTCACTCACACAGCCACCACATAGATCACCACCTCTAGCCTCTACTATTGGAATGGACTTGTTATCGGCCTTCCTGCCTCCAGACACTCCCCATTCCAGCCCCTCCTCCATTCACCTGCCAAGATGATTTTTCTAATGTTTGGGTCTGGCCATGTTATCCCCCACCCCCCAATAAATCCCAATGGTTCCCATTACCTACAAAATCAAATAGCAAGACTTTTGTTTGGCGTTTAAAGCTTTTTAAAATGCCCCTTCTCACCTCTCCAGTCTTCTCAAATTTATTCTCCTTCACAGCCTCCATGCTGACCTGCTGGTGGCTCTGAACCCCATGCTTATCCCATCTCTGCGTTTTCATGGTGATCAGTCAGTCTCATGCCCGGAGGGCTCTCGCTCCTGACCTCAGATTCTGAGAATCCCTAGCTTCAAGGCCTATTCTGTCATCCCCAGCTGCCATGCTGTCCCCTCCAAGATTCCCTCCCCTCTCTTCCCCTATGCTCTCTTTCATCTAGATTATGTACCCCCTTAGAGCAGAAGCTTCTTGAGGGCAGGACTGCTTTCTCCTTTCTTTGTATGTCTAGCACTTAGCACATACTAAACACAATTGATGCTTGTTTGTCGACTGGTTGATGTATGGGCTCAGAAGGGGGACAGTCCAGGGGGATCTTCCGGTGCCATCACTTTCCTAATTCTTTATGCACCCCATTGTCAGAGGTGGGCTTGGAACCCAGAGCCTGGGGCAGGAGTAGAGAGCCGCATTAAGTGAGACCACTTTTACTTTTGTATCCGGTAAAACATAAATCCTTGAGGGCAGAAACTTTTTTATTTTTGGTCTCTGTATGTCCACTGCGTGGAACATAGTAGGTGCTTAATAAATGCTTCTTGATTCACTGATTTTATTTGGAGAGACTATGGAATGAGGAGACTGGAGCTTCCAGGGACAGGAAGTCATCTATGGCCTTCAGGCCATTTATGGGGTAGAAGAAAGGTCATTGAAAAAAGAATCAGAGGGGCAGCTAGGTGGTGCAGTGGATAGAGCACTGGTCCTGGAGTCAGGAGGACCTGAGTTCAAATCCGGCCTCAGACACTTGGCACTAGCTGTGTGACCCTGGGCAAGTCATTTGACCCCAATTGCCTCACCAGAAAAAAAAAAGAAACAAAAAAAGGAATCAGAATCTGTGACTTTGGGAAAGTCACCTCACTCCCTTGGGCCTCAGTTCTCTCTGTCAAAAAGGGATTTGGTTGGAAGGTCTCCAAGGTCACTTCCTGGAGTCACCCCCCTACATTCCAGCCCCTTCCTCCACCTGGGCCTGGCTCCAGAGCTCCAGCAAGGATCTCAGCTGGAGTCTGATCAGTTCCCAAGATTGGAAGGTGGGGGAGGGGGATCCTCTGCCCCATCCCATCCAGGGAGTCCTCGGATGGACCACAACTCTGCCAGCAGACTCGACGCTTTTTTCCCTTCCTTCTCAGGCTTCCAGGGGGAAAGGGGCCTGGGGAGAGAGAAGAGCCAGGGTTGGCCAGTATGTGTACTCACGCAGAATAGGTCCTGGTTCTTTTGGTGGGGAGGGGGCTGGGCAGGTCTCTGAGCAGGAGGCTGCTGCCCCGGTCCCAGATCCGGCTCCCCTCGCGATGGAAGGGGAAGGTGGGCCAGACGGGGGACTTGGGGGAGTGCAGAGGCGGCACTACTGGAGGCGAGGTGGGCTCAGAGGACATGGCGGAGAAGCCTAGTGGGCAGGGACGTCTTCAAGGCGTGCAGTGGTCGGGGGATGAGACTGGATAAAACAGAGCTATGCAGAGTATGGATGGGCCCCAGAAGCTTTCTGGAGATGCCTGCTTCAGTCTGGAAGGGAGGAGACACATAGAGTCAGAGGAACAATAGGAGACAATGGGACCTTGCTGAGCCAGAAGGGGCAGACTGGGCTGATGGGTCCTTACTCTGGATTCCTCGGGGACAGGGTGAGCCAGGAGCTGAAACGTAGTCTCCTGGGTCAGCGCCAAGCCTGGGAGAAGCTGAAGGGGCCAAGCTGTTATTGAGCTAGGAGGAAGGGAGGAGAGGCTGGCACCAACACATTAACCACGATCTGGTCCAGCTCCTTACATAAACACACCTGCCCCCAGCCACCCACCTCCCAGGGACACCACCCACGGATGGCCAGAGGCGGCCCCTGCTGTCAGCTGGCCACAGGGGGTCACTGGATGGCCACCAAAGCTGGGCTGTGCCTCCAGACAAGGAGGTGCCTCCATTGGGAGGAACCCAGCAATCCTGGGGGAGAGGGCTAGACATGGAGAGAGTCAGCAGCCCTTCTGCCCTCCAGCTCCAGGGATCCCCAAGCAGGGTGGCAGAAGATGCCAGCTTCCAGGGTCCCAGCCTGGGCAGCTAGCTGATCCGTCCTCCTCAAGCGCAGAGAAGCCAACCAGGCAGCTGTGGACAAATGAAAAGCACCCAGGGGACCTGGGTTTGAAGAGCAGCTCTGCAGTTACTCTCTGTGTGGCCTTGGGCAAGTCACTGAATCCCCAAGCCTTAGTTACCCTCTGTAAAGTGGGGAGAATAATATCTGCAGTAGCCACCTCACCTACAGGGTGGTTGGGGAGCTTGAGTAAGATAATATACATAAAATGCTTAATAAACCTTGTAGTGCTACACAGAAATGCCAGCGATTTTCTGTAATAATCCATTAATATTATTAATTATTGATAGGTTCACAGGCTAAGAGCTAGAAGTGACCTGAGAGGACAGGGAGTTATAGATGAAGAGACTGAGGCACAGGAGGTTAAGTCACCAAGGTCATAACAGAGCTGCAGTTTGGACCCAAATCCTCTGACTCCCAAGCCAGGACTCTGTGCCCGGCTTGCTGCTTCCAAATCAAGGCCCTCTCTTCCCCTGAGCCCAAGGAAGTACAAATGGAGTTTAGGTCAGAAACTGCCTACAAACCTTGGGCTCCATGTAGACAAGGCCTGTATGCAAGGACCTTACAATCGAATGGGGGGAAAGACAATTCAGGTACTGCGATCTAAGGGTAAGGGAGATCAATGCAGGAAGGTGCTCAGAGACATCGGAGGAGGGACGGGTCAAGCCCTCCCTTTCCCAGAGGAAATGGTACCTGGGCTGGAGTCTTGGAAGAAAGATAGGACTTCACCGGACAGCAAGAGGAGGGCAGCCCTGCCACCCAACCTCTGACCTGACCCCCAAGGAGTGGAGAACCAAGGTATGGAGATGGATGGGGCAGGATGAGAATCCAAGAGCGTCTTCATTCACTCAACACTCTAAAGTGCCTACTGTGTGCAGAGCTCTCGCGAGACACAAATATGACCTATGACTAGGAAACTGGTTGGGAGAAGTCTTGGAAGAAGAGAGTTGGGGCGTATACTTGGTGTAAGTTCCCACAGCTGCCTCCATAAAAGATTCAAGGACCACAGCAATCTGTCACTCATGGGCTCTGGACTGTCCCCAGTCAACCCACCAGCCCCCCAAATAGGAGGTCTGCCCAGCTGCAGCTTTGTCTTTCCACTGCCAATAATAGTAATTTTTCTCCAGGTCTGAACCTCCTTTCTTCCTCACAACACTAAATCGAATGCTTATGGAGATGGGGATTAAGATAGGAATCTGCCCTGAGTCCCCCTCTCTTCTAGGAAATGGGATCTGCTTCTCCTCTTCCCCCCCTCCCCCCCCACCTTGTCCCCACCCCCTGCTGTCTCCGACCCCACCTTGCCAGCCCCTACAGCTATTATTCCCGGGCACCAGGCATGTGCCAGGCAGTGACAGACAGTGCCGGGAGGCAGCACCCTCCCCAAGGGGGATGGGGGAAACAGCATGCACCAGTGGGGCCAGAGGAGTCTCAGATGTTTTGGAGCTCAGCCCCCACCCCTCCCACCGCTTGCCACCAGGAGAGAGAAGCTGCTATTTCTGCTGCCATATTTCTGCCCTCGCTGGGGACCCCACAGTGGTTGTCAGCAGTGAAAGATGTGACAGACGCTCCAGGGAGAAGCAGCCGGTAGCTGCCTTGCCTCCTCTCTTCCTCCTTTCCCTTTTCCTCCCCTGTCCTTCCCCTCCTTGCTGCCCTTCTTCTCCCCTCCCCTTTCTTCCTCTCTGCTCTCTTCCCTCTCCTCCCCTCTTCTCTGCTCTTTTCCCTTCTCTTCCCCTCTTCTCTGCTCTCTTCTCCTCTCCTCCTGTTCTCGGTCACCCCACGCCTCTTCTCTCTTGTCCTCTCTTTTCTTCCCTTCTCCTTACTTCCCCTCTTCTCTCCATTCTCCTCCCTTCTTTTTTCTCCTCTCTCTCCTCTCTTCTCCTCTTATTTTCCCCCTTAGCAGAGTCTGTAAGCCAGAGAAGATTAAGATAGGGATAGGGGAAGCAATTCTGTTAGAGGCTAAGGGTTAGAGGAGAAAAGAACCCTGGATTTGGAATGAGAAGACCCAGGTCTGAAGGCTAGCTCTGTGCCCTTGGGCAAATCATTTGGCCTGCTTAAGCACTTAGGGTCCCACCCCTCTGCCTTGGTCACTGACAAAGTAAAGTGGGGCTCCTGAAGATTTTTAGAATGGGAACCATAGATCCTTGCTGTGGCCAGCAGGCTGGGCTTCCTGCCTGGACAATCCTGGCTCTCTGTCCTGTGTAGCCCTCCTTATCTCTTTTGCCTGAAAAGCTTTAAACTTGGCCGGGGGGGAGTTCCTCCTTAATACTCCTCTCCTTTGCTCCTTACTGAACTTCCAAAGGTTAGGGTGGTGAGAGCAGCCTTCAGCACTCCCCTCAGGGTGAGACAGTACAGTGGGAGACAGGGGCAGATCCTCAGACTCTTCCTCAGTCCCTATTTCCCTCTATCTGGGGTGTGGGTGTAAGCAACGGCTACACAGAATCATTCATTACCACTTTCCTCCGTCCCCTTCCCGGGGGGGGAGGGGGGGGCGGGGAGAGAGGTCCAAACAACCACACCACCGTTCAGTTTTTCTCCAATTTCCCAACTCTCTTCTCTGATTATGTTCCTCCAAGGAGGTAGGGGAAGAACAGAAGATAATAAGACCCCTTGGGGAGGATGGTCTCATATCCTGGAGTTGGTAGGGATGAAAGGATGGGGGCGGGGGTGAGAGGAGGGTGGGTTACAGTTGGTTTGCCATCTTTCCCCAAGGAAGCGATGAAGGGACCACCAATGACCTCCTCATTGCTCTGCAAAGCAGACAATGGCCTGGGTTGACCCACTCCCTCCAAAAGTGCTGCTGTTAGGTAGCTAAAGGCAGAGGGAGCTGGGCGTGAGGCTCAAACACACATGCCCTTCCACCCCTGCCCCTCCCCCCAATCTCTTCTATCCTCTGCAGTGGCCATCAGGATGCAGGTCTGAGACCATAAACTGAGGGACTCTGGAAGCTGTGGTGCTGACCTGAATCTCATGCACTCTAAAGACTGCTGGTTCAGCCCTGTAACCTTACGGATCCAGGCAGGGTTAGACCAGAACCAGGGACAGCTCCTTGCCGAAATCTACCCTTCACCGTGTTCCCCCAAGGGCTCTCACCCACTGATTTGCCTTTCTCATCACGCCCCCCCCTTCCCCTGCAATGCAGCATTGGGTTCTGTGTCTAGCAGGTGAGACTGAGAAGGAAGGTTGGACTGGGATGTAGTTTTGAAAAGTGTTTTGAGATCATGCAAAAGGCTAGAGAAACAGGAAAAGCTCAGGCCATCTGCAACATCCAGATTTCTCCATGGACTGCCTCTGCTGTTCTCATGCTATGGCTGCCATTAAACTGCCAGATCAGAGGGCCACTGCCCCCAGGAATAAAAACCACATTTCCCAAGACTGTCTTCTCTCCCCATAGGAAATCCTGTGGTCAATGATGAGACCAGGGTAGAGTAAGCAGGGCAGCTGTCCTGAAGAGGCACCTTTTTAAATGGAGAGAGCTGTGGATTGGGAGTCACAAGAGCCGGGCTTTAGAGCTGGGTACGTGACTGTGGGCATATCATTTTACTTTGGTGAAGTGCCTTGGTTTCCTCCTCTGTAGAATGGGGCAAGGGGGAGGAGGCAGTAATAATATTTGCAGTGGCAACCTCACAGCATTAGAGTGGGGAAAGTGCTTTATAGAGCACATGGGAACCAGGGAGGACACAAGACAGGAAGAGGAGGGAGTAAACAGAAGGCAGGGGGCTGGACAAGGTGACCTCTCAGTTCCCTTCTAAGCCAGACTCTAGGATTCTAGGATAAGGTAGGAAGGAGGCTGAAGGTCTTGGCTCAAAAATAACCGAGGGTAAAACAGCAGCTGGAGCGAGGACTTTGAGGGCTGAGTTGAGATTTGAATGCAGGGGTCCTCCTGCAGCACACACTTGTTTTTATGTATTGCAGACCCCTTTGGAAAGCTGATGAAGCCTACAGACCAACGATTCTCCAAATCATGGTTTTTAAATCCACAAAATAAAATATAGAAGATTACAAATAGATCAGATATATTGAAATACAGTTTTATATATATGTATATACACATACATATAATTATATATACATGTTTTTATATGTATATTATATGATATATAATGTATGCAATATGTTATATAATTATATAATATAATAACATTATATATGCATATATATAATAAGTTCATATAGCCCAAGTTAAGAATCTCTGCTTTGACGGGCATTGTCCAGGCAGGAAGGAGCATTGGTAGCTAATGCTGGCCTAGCTTTGGCCTTCCCGAGTGCCCACTCTCTGTCCTAGACCTCTTGGTTTTCCCCTGGGGGTGGAACTGGCACAGTCTTTGTTCCTGTCTCTTCTGGCCTCCAGCGGGGCAATGATCCCCTTCTCTATACTTTAGGGAAATCAAGTCAAACCAATAAGAATTGAAGTGCCTCATCCTACTTGACAAGG